GAAGGACAGAGGAAGTTCGAAGTTCCCAATGTCAATGATTGGTGGTGAGGATGAAGGGGGTATCAAAAGAGTAGCTTGGCGCGGGGGTGGTGGAAGCGGCGGAGCAGGAAATAAAGAATCAGAGAAGAGTAAATTAGGAAGACTAGAAGAAATTGGAATGGGGAGGGGGAAGAGTGCGCCCGGTGATGCCAGTCCGCATGAGGAAAAAGTGTTGAAAGAGAAGAAGGAGAAGCAAAGATTAAGAGAGGAGAAGGAAGCGGAAGACAAAAGGATCCAAGAGGAACAGAAAGAGCAGGAGAGGAAAGCAAAAGAGGAGCAAGAAAGAAAAAAGAACGAAGAAGACGAAAGTGTGGAGAAAAATCGGAATGGAGATGATGATACGGATGTTGAAATGATCGAGGAGGAAGACATCAATCATGAGAATACGAACAATAAAGAAGTCGAAGAAGTGAACGGCGAACACAAGCTCCTCGCTCTCCGTTCTCTCTGCGAAACTACCACATTTCAACCTGGGCTCTACCTCCAGTGTCACTCCTGGTGTGGTACCAACTCTACGTCCATCTGCGGTGGTCTAAACAATGCCCGTAATCGTGTACAAACCTGTCTTCGTTTGGCAGTAGACCTCGGTTCCGGAATCATCCTTCCCACAGTGCAAACGCATCGCAACTCCGAGAACTTCGTTGAGCACGGCGATGCCACCGATAATGCTCTATGTCCGGAAGTATATTGGGATATTGAGTATCTTCTCCAGGAAATGGGTTCCACTTGCCCAGAGCTAGAAATACGACAATGTGGGGATGTTTCTGGAATAGACGAGGATAGAATCATACAAATAAAGAAGAGAGAATTCGGAGAAGCCAGTCACCACATCGGCACGTTCAAAGCTACAGTGAACGAGCATTTAGAATCTCTTTCTCTCTCATCCATTTCAGCCGAGTATCCAGTCGCGGTTGGCTTTGGCGATACGATATATGCATATAATTACACATATGACTCAGAACAAACCCTTCAAAAAGAGCTCTTCCGCACCCTAAAATACAATCGGAAGTTACTCGATCTCGGATCGAGGCTGCGATATAGTCCCGAGTTACGTGATGGATATATTGGAGTTCACTTCCGGGGTGAAAGCGATTGGCCCCAAAGTTTTGGTTCACGAGAAGATCAAATGAATTTTTTCAAACAGGAAATCGAGCTTGCATCTACTGCCCAAGGGGCTGCCGAGGGTATTAAGACCATATATATAAGCTGTGGGGATGAGGCAGCCATCTCAACGTTTCGTGAGCCGCTTTCGGCACTAGGGTATCGGGTTTATGATAAGTGGAATTTGGCATCATCTCTCTCCGACCCATCTTTGCTATTAGAAGGAATGGAATTCGACATCATAGCTATTATTGACTATGCTGTGTTGGTTGAGGCAGCACTTTTCCTCGGGGTGTGGATGTCGACATTTTCCCAAACCATTGCATATGCGCGTACGGTGGAACTCGAGCAGGACTACTGGGAGACATATATCAATCCGGGAAGTAGAAGGGATGGACTGACGAGATTGTGGGATCAAGCGCCTGCTTTGAAAGGAGACACGACGACTAAGATATTAGTTGTCAACACGGGCGGGTTCGATAATATGGATTCTTACCCGTGAAAGTAGCGAGAAGAGACTTTGAGTTGAGATTTGAGGGGTAGATGGATGAATATGATTTTGTGTAATATAAGAAGAATTAGGTACATTGTTCATGCAGACAACCCGTTAAGCCATCCGTCTTAAGGCTCTCGATCGGAAACGGACCTCCTGATTTATTTCCAGTATCAAACTGGACCGTCAAACCTTTTTATTGAAGCACTGGAGTCAATGTGTATTTGCTAACCCATCTAACCAAGAAAAGGAGTGTTAGAAACTAAAATGAATTCAACATTATATTATTATACCATGCTAGCCAATCTACAATTCACCCTCCTCCGATGTTAGGATATATTCCATATAACCCACATATATGTACTTGAGGTATGTTCAGGATGTATGAGACACTCCACGCTAGTGCTAGATGTTGTATCGGAATGGCCAACTTTGGCAATATATGTAAGTCTGTTTCATCATGATGCTGTAGCTTCATACATCGTTTGTGCTTGATCTGTACTGTACGTATATGAAAGCACCAGAATGCCCTGAAAATATAGCGGATCAAGAACGGCTGTTGCGACTCTTCCATGCCATTCCTCCTGCGACTGACCGTGGCCGTGGACTTCAAGAGACAACGAATCTTCCAGGAGTTGCCGGCTTGGTCACAGGCACAGACAAACACCATGTGACCTATAGTGTTCTTGGATAGTAGACCTATTTCCCCAAGGGAAACTCTAGGAAGCCTTTTTACTTCTGAATTTCTTTTGAATATCCTCCTCCGTAAACTTGCGGGTCTTCGTCCTCAGCATAGCTGCCAGCTCCTCTTTGCTCTTTCCAATATTTTCGCCTGTTGGAACGAGACATCCAGCAAGATGTTCATAATCCTTCTGCATCAGTTTGATGAACATCATAATGTAATCGATATTTTGGAAGACGAGAGCTTTGCCAGAATCGTACTTTTGTTTCCCTTTCAGGTAACTGAGTGGTTGATCGCGCCAATGTCGAAGTGGATTGAGATGATGGGCCGTATGCCAACCGTCGTTGAAGCAGTTTCGGTTGCTCTAAAAAAACAAGAAATTAGTTATGAATCTAAACAGTGCCATGAAATGAAGAAATGGTCTCTTACCGCCACATCGATCAGAACAATGGAAGATCTATAATCCGAATCGGGATCAATTTCATCAACCAATGCATGCTGTCCCCAGTTCCCTACCATTAATCCAATTCGCATTTGCATGAATGGTATTAACAATACAAAGAGGGTTGGCCAGAAGTTCAATCTAGCCATCACATACATGCCCACATATGAGCCAACTTCCCAGAACAGCACCTCGCATGCTAATCTCATTTTGTTAGTCCGGAAGAAGTATAACGGGAGCTCAAGCCAGATAAAGAACATAAAGCGACCCCAGTACTTCAGAAAATCAATTATATCATCCCGTTGATATCGCAGAGTCGAAGAAAGATCATCTGGTCCATTGCCCTCAACATGATGACACTTGATATGGTGGTAGTAATAAGAATGTAATGTGTGACCCATGAGGGGTTCAAGGAGGTATGGAAACGTTTGGTCGAGCCATGCGTATTTCTTTACTAAAACTCCGTTGTTATGAATATGGTTGTGAAGCATAAGGGTGAAAGGTCCGCAGTAAAGTGCCTGCATGATCCAATGGCAGAATCCATGTATCAATGAGAATCTGTTGTACAAAATTATAGCGCTCGGGACCGACGTGGCAAGGTAAAGGATGATATGTGTGAGGAAGACAACATCTGTTGGTCGGCGTACGACTCCTTTCGCCCATTGTATGTATGGCTCAAGTATGTATTGGTATAAAGGACGGGGGAGGCGTTCAAGATCTTCTTGATCCCAACTCGTAAATACTGTAGGCTGGAATTTTTCGTTGCTCTCATCGTTGAGTGCTTCTAAAATCGAAATTTGCTCGTCGATTTGAGATTGGCTTTCTTGACCTGCAGAAGCGTCCGAGGGATTGGCTTTGTTACTTTTTTGCACATCTTTTAGTAGCAACTCGAGCACTCTTCGATCGGGTTGAGTTAAGTTGGGATTCATGGCTTGAAGATCCATGATGTTGTAGATAATTGGTTGTTAACCAAAATTATTTGTGATAGAAGGACATGAAGGAATATTTGTATTAAAAGGAATCCCTCTGGGACCATAATTTTGCGATTGAACTAGCAGATTCACCTACCTAGTATTGTGAAAACCGCAAATACCCTTAATTCTCTATGAAGACCCACCGTGAGAAGATCAGGGTCTAAACCATACCTATTATCACTCATACCGCGCGGTTTCTATTATTGCTTCATCTAGACCGGGAGCCCCTTTCTATGCGTATATGCACGTGAAGTCGATGTTTTGGTGGAGTTTATGACCGAAAACGGATGAGGAAGGATTACAGAAGGTGTAAACCTGTAAATAATCACAAGATCTATGGCTTGGAAGCTGCGATCCTTATGGCAACAACTGTTTGCAGGTAAGCTTGCTGCTATTTAGATGAATGTTATTGGTTGTCATTTTCCTGGTCAATCACCCATCCATCATAATTAGTAGCTTCATCATGAACATCATACTTTGACCGCTCTGTACTCGAGTACCTAGCGAGCCTAGGTAGAGATATACGGTGGCAACTTTGTAGAGAATTCTCTGAAGAAGTGGATTCCATTTCAAAACTCGAATGCAATCAGTTTGGTGCGAAACATAAAAAAGGATTGAAACAATAGCTCGAGAATGGAGACTGTGGAAAGACTGCCGAGCTATCACAGCTTGGATTTGGATAAGGATGGAAGCTGTGCTGTGAAGCGGACTCGAGGCGGACCATGCATGCTTAGTAAGGCACACCTCCTTCCAAAACTCCCGAGTCCACAAACTAATAAACAGGGCGAATTTATCCGAAAATCTGGCGGGGCAATTATGTGTTTGGTACGGACTTGTAGGGATAGATCATGGAAGTGAAGGAAAAAGGAGAGAAGTTACCTAAATAAATGCAGTGCCACCTACTACTTATTGTTAATTGATAATACTGCCTACATGCGGTATATCAGTTGACAAGCTTGTATAAATCGACCTGCAAATTCATGTCTTGGGAGGTTGTTGTCGGTAAGGGGATATAATCATATTTAATTTAGTCATCGTCTTTCTCCTATTTTACAACTTCCTCAAGCAAACCTATGTGTATATTTATCTACATTTATATATATATACGCACGGCAATGCTAGTGCTGCAAATTGCTCAATCCGCTCCAGCCCATTTATGAGTACATCGCTACATACAAATAACAATGACGCTAACCATCAATATCGCTCATGTATGGTATCAATGCATTCTTCATCACTGTCCTTGCCATTATTTTCTCTTTTTGTTACTTATTTCTTGTAATCCTCGGGTCCAACCATCAACTCCGGTCTAACCAACTTATCGAAATCCTCTTCACTCAAAGCCTTCAACTCCATGGCTGATTCCTTCAAGGTCAATCCTTTCTTGTGGGCATTCTTGGCCACTTTGCTAGCCATATCGTAACCAATCTTTGGGTTCAGGCAGGTGACTAACATGAGACTATTGAAAGTTTTGTCAATACTTGTTATTTTCAGGCTCGAAGGAACAGGAAGATGGGAATGATAAGTGAAATCGGTATACGCACGATTCTTTCAAGATACTTTGAATCTTCTCCTCATTGGCTTGTAGTCCAACCACTAAGTTCTTCTCAAAGCTTCTCATTCCGTCACTCAAGATTCTAATGCTGTGCAACAAATTTCTAATGACCAATGGCTTGAAAACGTTCAATTCAAACTGGCCGTTCATACCACCAATGGTTGTAGCAGTACCGTTTCCAATGACCTGGGCGCAAACCATAGTAATGGCCTCGCATTGGGTTGGGTTGACTTTACCCGGCATGATCGAACTTCCAGGCTCGTTTTCTGGAAGAGCAAGCTCGCCGAGGCCACATCGAGGACCGGATCCAAGATATCGGATATCTTGGGCAATCTTGAAGAGGGATGAGGCGAGGGTGGTGAGAGACCCAGAAGCTTGAACAATTGCATCGTGAGCTGCAAGAGCTTCGAATTTGTTAGGTGCAGTGGTGAATTGTGTTCCGGTCATCTTAGTAACCTCTTCTGCGATAGCTTCTGCGAATCCCTTGAAAGTGTTGATACCAGTACCTACAGCAGTTCCTCCTTGCGCTAAGAGTCTAAGGTGGGGCAAGGATGATTCGACACGCTCGATACCATAGTCAAGTTGTGCGACATATCCAGAAAACTCCTGGGCGAGGGTAAGAGGAGTTGCATCTTGCAAATGGGTTCGTCCAATCTTAATAATATTCTTTGCCTCAAATTCATCAACTTTAGCTTGGAGAGCATCTCGTAATGACTTAGTTGCAGGGAGGAGCTCATTCTCGATTTCGAGGACTGCAGCAATGTGCATAACAGTAGGGAAGGTATCGTTTGAGGAAGCTGACATGTTAACGTGATCGTTAGGATGAACTGGTTTCTTGCTTCCCATGGTTCCGCCCAAAATTTCAATAGCCCGGTTCGAGATAACCTCATTAGCATTCATATTTGACTGGGTTCCAGAGCCGGTTTGCCAGACGACAAGAGGGAAATGGTCGAGCAACTTAAGATCTGCCACTTCCTTGGCAGCTTCTTGAATAGCCTTTCCGAGCTTTGGGTCTGTCGAAATTTCGTCAGCTCATGTCCTAACGTGCCTCTCCTTTCATGTAGGCGTACCTAGACCAAATTGCATGTTGACAGTTGCAGCTGCGCCCTTCAAAATACCAAAAGCCTTGATAATTGGAGGAGGCATGCGATCTTGAGGCTGGTTTATCTTGAAGTTCTCCAACGAACGCTCAGTCTGCGCTCCCCAATATTTGTCCGAGGGGACCTCGACGTTTCCAAAGGCATCGGATTCGGTTCTTGTTTGTGACATATTGTATGCAGTTGCGTGGAAATTTCTTTGCAGACGAGGAAACGAAGATTGCAAGCTCTTCAGCTTATATGATGAAGGAGAACAATTGAGGACCCGAGTGGCAGATTTGCTCGTGATGTTGACGGCATTCGCGGGGCAGGTGGAGGTGGTGAATGTACGAGCTATTGCCCGAGGCAACGGAGCTCGAAGTGTGGATGTCCGAAGCATTGTGACTGTTCAAAAAAACTACAAAATCTTACAAAATTGCAAATTTGTTCAATTTCACTCAATTGAAATCTTGGGGATGCCCGTACTTAAGTCAATTGCAGTTAAGAATTGCTAAGAGTCAGTAGTGGGCACGGAGGGTGGGTATCATAGCAAGTCAAAAAATTATGGACTCCAAAAGTTTCACCCGCCATAAAAATCGTCTTGGCGGGAACTATCGGCATCGGGACATTCCGGTACTTCCGCCGCGTTGAATATAGTTCTTACGTAATGACCATTTACTCGAGTACTACTGGTGTACTTCAACAAAATGAAGGAGACATGCTGCTGTATCGAGGACAACGATACAGTGTCCCAAGTTCCTAAAGCTAGGAATGCCACGGTCCCAAACTGAGGTTCAAGTCTTTTGCTTTTCATATTGTTATTTGCTTTTCATATTGTTATTTGCTATTCGCTTTTCAATTCCTTGTGTTTTCCAGATAGCGAGGTGCTTAAGGCTTGAACACAAGGAACTTCGATACCCTTTCTTCACTACCAACCATTCTCGCATTCAACGTGCACGCAACAACTCTTAGGTTTTCCTCTCTCGTCCTCAAATAAGATACTACAATCCCATCTCTCGAATCAAAGATTTCCCCTTACTCCTATTCCATCTTCCCCCATCTGGAAATACAAGAATCAATGATAGTTATATTGGTTGCCGCGACACATAGACGAATTTTCTAAAAGTCTGATTCCGATCACATCTCCCCTGGTCTGCTTTTTCTTGAGAGATGTGCAGTATTGTACGCCTAGATTAGTGTTGTCATGTTCCAATTTCAAGTCTCAATATTCAGTTTTATGTCATTTTGTTCCATCTGGGAAATCCTGAATTTCTACTAATTTCTAAAACAATCTTTTAGGCTCCTCAAAGGAATACCCTCAAAGGGTCCGGTCCCCTTCAGTATATCAGTCTCTTTCACTACATTTCAAAAATTTGCTGAAATGATTCACATTGCATTACACCCCATTGCAGTGGATATCAGCAAATATTCTCGAAGCAGTTGCCTTTGATAACGGACTCATATTTCATATGAATTCTACAAATTGTTTGAGAAATTGAGTCAAGTCAATGCAGTACATTGGTTGAGTCACACCTATGAAAAAATAGGCTTGTGACAAACGGCATGGGTTACACGAGGCTAGGCCACAATTGCCCACTGAGCCCATTACACCTACCTGTGATATGTTTACATCTCAGTGACACCCTCTTCCACAGCGATTGCCATCTATCAACTCGTACATAACCAAAAATTGTGTTAAAATATAGCAAAGCTCGATGATCTACCACAAGAATTGAAGGACCTTATTCTCTGCGCGGCTCCTGACATCGCCACCCTTAAATGTCTCGCACATTCATCCCCATTTTTCCATGGTGCCTATGCAAACCGACGTGAGGATATATTTTTGACTGTCCTCTCAACTGAAATTACGCCGGACATCCTCCACGAAGCACGATTTGTAGCGCGCGCCACGAGCATAGAGCGTGGTTCGTCATGGTTCAGTGACGTTAAGCAGCTCCTTGCAGACTATGACAAAGGCATCGATGAATTTTTTCCTCTCAATATTACCTCGACCGAAACTATCTATATATCGAGGTTCCTACCAGCTCTTCATAATGTAACCTTGGCATTTTTCCAGATGACTTTATCACATCATCCGCTGACTGGAGAAAAAATGCATCCACCATCACCAGACCGATTCGAGATACGCAGGATCCAACGCAGCATCCTGAGAATTGAGATATTCAACATACTATTCTCTGAAAGAAAATATAGTCCTTCTTATCGTCCCAATTGGGAGTCCCCTTGTGAAGAACTCGGGAATCTCTTTTTGTCTAGATTTGAACTTTGGGAAGTTGAGGAAATGGTATGTACGAGAGATTTCTTTTACAGGCAATACGATGTGGTATTTAGAGGTTGTTCAGTTGAACTCCGCAACTGGTTCGCCTTGAACGAATACTGCGAGGAAGACCCAGGGGATAGCATAGAGAACGCTGTGGCAAGAACAAAGGAGAAAGGTAAGTTCGTCTTCTGGGTACAACCAAATCTCACTGAATGACTGCAGACTTCATTGATTATCGAGAGATGTCCGAGCGATTGTTGAGCCTTGGCTTTGAATTTCTGTGGGAAGTCCTCAACGACTATTCGAAATACCAGGAATTTCCTTTGCTAGAGGAGGCTTTTTTTTACGGAGAATTTCACACGCCCCCAAACTTCCTTTCAGATACTCTGGCAATATTCTTTTCACTTCGCGATATGCAAATTATGCAAGATTCTGAGTTTCGAAAAACTGTATTAGATTCAGAATACACGGGGAAGGAGAAACCAAATCTTGCATGGCTGTGGTCTGTCCAACAATGGAATCCTGCATTTGATGGAGGCAATTATGTTTCCTATTGTGAAAGAAGAGATTGTTCAAGATCATGGGGCTATGCAATGTGGGACAGCTCAAGGCTAGAGTCACTAGGGATCATGAACTGCAAGATTCAGGATATGCAGCCACACGGGCCAAAAGCAATGCAAGGACCATTGTTGACGGATGACCCCCAGGAAAACGAAAGCTGATATCTGAGCTAGATATGAATATGTAGAGGTGAAAACTTCCTTAGACAAAGCCTCATAATTTGTTTGTTACGTGGATGTTCATTTACTCCAGTTTTAGAGAATGAAAAAAGATCTATAGAATTTGGAATTTTCCTTTTGCAGTACTAACATTGGCGAAATTTCAACCAACTACCCTAATTATCAAACTCTTCACCAAGTCTCTCGAATGCCACCTTCTTGCTTGACTCCTGTCCGTCAACAGGTCTGCCTGAACTTATTCTAACCCCATAGAAAATAAGATCCTGCATTTCTTTCCACATGGCGGCCGGAGGTTCGATATCAAATGATTCAATGCCGGATTGCAGCCCAAAATAGGAAGATTGAAATGTTACAGCATGGCTGTTGCGACACAGGTTGAGTAGATCGAGCCGAGGACAATTCACGGTGTTAAAATCGGCCCATGACGAAGTTGAGAGATGAAACGAGGGAACAAAAGCGCTTTGCCTTAACTCAATGGGAGAAATAGGTGAATATTTGATATGGCTTGTCAGAAAACACAAAATCAAGTATTCGTAGGCTGCCAAGGTTGTTAATGAGCTTGAATAGTACGACTCCTCAGCACAACACAACACTCTAATAATCAAGTGAATATTTCTATGGCTTTGAATGTAGAAGCCTAGATATAATCACAAACTCCAGGGTGCTAATTGCATAATTCCCTGGAAAATAAATGCAAATCAAGCGAGGGGCTTTCGTATTCTGATAGGTCCAACCACATTTGCTAATCCGGCTCCAAGATCTCCTTCAAGCACAACGCCTTTCTGTAAGACCTCAACGTAATTGTTCTCTCGCATCGTAAACAGAATCGATCGAATATCTGGCATGGCTTCGCGCCAGCAAGAATAACCCAATGCTTGAAGCTCCGGATGAGTAAGTGCTCGAGCGACTTCAGAAGGACAGAAAGTTTTGGGTGGTTGACGTGATGCTAGGAAGTGATTTATATAGCGTTCGATTGTTGAAAGAGAATCATAATGTGTAGCGTCATCCATCGAAAAAGCAGAATTATATCTAGACTGATTATTGTCAATTGAGGTATTCGGCATCTCGAGCTTTCAAGTTTGATAAAGACTAGTGAACGCTTTGGCGCAATTATCTGAAGCCCCTTAGGCGTCTCTTTTCTTACTCTTGCGCTGTGGTTGGATATGAGATTAGTTTGTATTTCTTGAGCTGTCTAAATATGTTAATATTCCTAATACAATCACTTACAAATAGTTTGATCTTTAAATGGTATATTGCAAAAGTTTCTCCGATTCTCCTTTCTACATATAAATATAGCTTTCAAACATAGCGATCATCTCTTTATATAGTCGTTCTGCTGCAGCACTATTAGGATTGGTACCTATAAAGATTTTCCCATTCTGTATCGGGAATAGAAACTTATAACATCTTATCGCCAATAGCAGATACGGTCTGAAGAGCTTTCTAAACTCCATCTCCACAAGCTTCGAGAATTCCATCGACTGTATATCGGCTCTTTTGATTTTGAAAATATCACCCCATTTCATACCCATACGTAGTAAGCCCATCCAGGTGTAAAGATGACTTGATGCCAGTATATACTTAGAAGTAACTTCATCATAGAATATTGCCAGCCATAGAAAGACATAGAAAAAAGATTCTAGATCATGGCGATATATATGATCATCGCCGCCTAGGATGCCGCAAGCCATGAATCCCGAGGTGCTGATCAACAGCTGAATCTCTAGTAAAGGTTCCATAAGATCAAGCGCGCCATCCAGATTAGTGAGGATTCCTGCAGGAGAATCGGAAAACAGTGGAGAGATGATGATGATGTTCTGTCGACTTTTGTCCCTCAAACCCCAATACGCTTCGAGCTTAAAAACGCCAAAAACCTTCTTGGTATTTGCAAGTGCAAGTAGTTTTTTTCCCCGCAGATCCCATCTCGGTCCAGACGGGTTTGACGACCAAGTTTTGGCCTCGAGTGTGTGCTGCACGAGCCTTGAAGCATATTGTACCAGGTCCAATAAGACAGTCAGGTCTGAAGAACGCATCTTCTTCGAGATACAGTCTCGGTGAATCAGCTATTTCCAACAAAAACACCTTGATCATCCTCTTTCAATACCTCCTGCAGACCCGTATCTTGGACATCTAAAAACATGTTCCTAGCCACAATACGTGCAAAGTCATCAGATTTCTTCGTAATACTGAATGTTTCACTGCTGATTACCCCTACTCTAGCGAAAGTCCATATTTCCAAAATTGAATTGTATATATGGAATGTGTGCAAAAAGCAACGCTTAAATCAGATGATCAGAAAATCTCAAGCCATCTTACAAAACCTTAGAACTCTTGTGTCGTCTGGAACTAGACTGGGTCCGCTCTCAATGAGTCCTAGGACTTGAACATCCGCTCCGGGACAAATCTTAGATAATTGTATTGCGTGCTTTGACGCAATCAATATGCTTGCTTGCTGCCCATAGTTCGCATCACTGCTTGGAGCCAAAGGATAGAGTGTGGTAATGATCTGAACTTAGCCGCTAGGGAGTTGATAGGGCTGGACGGAGGAAACCCATTCTCCCAGATCCTCAACGACATGAAGTTCAGCCAGCAAAGTGCCAGTAGAAGATACTATCTTTGACATCGAGGTCGTAGGCACTTGCAGTTCTATCGGGATTATGTTTGGCCAGAACTTTTCGATATAGCCAGGCACATGACGATAAACTGAGCCTTCAAATTCGGTAATAAGATTGGCAAGTCCAGCAGCACCCTTTCTTGCCATTGCTTTGGAATTTATTCAAGGGTTGAGAAATACTGGGTTCAATTAAGCTACTATTTCCGATTAAGCCTAACACATCCATACCCCATAGGGAATGGGGGTCATATATGGTGGCTCGGGTGGTTGTAATAGCCCTGTGATATAGAATCTGGCTAGCAACGAATGTAATTATTGAAACGGATGCGCAATGGATGTAAAGTTGAAGCTGTCGTAGCTTTCTAATCCAGAATAAACTAATCTGCTTGAAGCTAATAATAGGTTGAAATTCGAAGTGGTTGAAGAATAAGAGCGACTGTAGGGATTAAACTGATGAGCCTCAATTTTAAGGTTGAATCTAGTCACATCCAACAGCTTTGAATTAATTGATAGGGATGTCACGCTTTCTCTCCTCCTTCTACCCAAATCTGAAACCATCTTGTACAAACGACACGAAAAGATTGTTCTTAGCATGACTGGTAACGATAAATTGAGATTGTTCGCTAGTGTATAAATAATATTTTACACTCTATCGTTTAGCTTCTTTCTTCATTCAAGTACTAATATGAATAAGTGGCCTACCTGGCCAGTTCATGGGTATCATTGTGTACAGAGTTCCCCTATACCCAACCGTGCCCAAAGCGCCCTTCATCTCTACCCTCCCTTTTATGATCATTTTATACAGTATTCTGGTACATAAACACCCAATATCCGTTGCGCCAATGCTACACCACTGCCCCCAAGTGGGTTAATAACGCCTTTGAAACCCCCAATGCAAACGCCATACCCAGCCGCAGGTAACATTACGCGTTAAGCTCCAATTGCTAGACATGAATCTAGTACCATATCCAATGCAGCTCGATCTTGATATTCGGCCCCTTCCCATCCCCAATCTTCGATATCACTCATCGGTTCGTCTATCGCGTGCCCGTTGACGCCATTAGTTAATCCATTGACCTCGAGACCACCCATCTCGATGTCGCCATCTTCATCCTCAGTAATGATTCTTCCTTGAGGCCCAAGCCGTGTGAATGCGTCCCAGTCTTCTAGCTCGCCCTCTTGGTATCCGAACATAATTTGCTGGACAACGACTGGCATTTGCCCTAAACCACAATCGGAAATCTCAAGTGCGGTTCGTACATCAGCCATGCCTAGAGGACCTCGTTCACTTGCTGCGCGGGCCTCGGTGGGTAATAAGCCGTTTTTGTCTCGAAGGACTTCGTTGCGCAACGAGGATTCTTCCTCCCTTTCCAGCTGCCTGCGATACTTGTGCGTTTGCACCCAGGAGGAACCCCCGCCTGTCCCAGCACTACCCGTAGACCCAGGTCCATTGCTTCTCGTTTTGCTGAATATCGATGATAATACCTCTTTAATAAAGGTTTCTGTTGCCACAGACATGAATTGAGCGGCATCTTGGACATGGCCATTTACTAATCCTGTTTCGTAGCATATGGGAAGCATTCGCGATTCGATAGTTGTCATGTCAGGAAACTCTCCTGATTCCGAGGCTAGAGGTAAAGCATATCTTTTCCGAATTTCCAGATCCCAATCTTAAATAACATGTAAGTACTATTGAACTTGCCAGGTTCGGTGGTTATGCATAACTTACTAGTTTTATTCAGACCACCAGCACTAGCAGGCACAATCTCGGGCTGTCGTGCAGGCTTCGGTCGGCGATGCTCGGTTAGCATTGTCGCAAATGCATCGAACGGGTCGAACTACACAGCAATTTAGCACAGATTCATAATTACTCCATATAAGCAAAATAAATCTTACATCATTCTGAGAAAGATCCTTCAACCTCCTTCTATCACGACTCGGTAGTTGCATAACTTCTGTTTTAAGTCTTTGTTCTGCCGCATCGCCGCTGACCGGCTTGCTCCCAGCTCCTGTCGTAGGTTTATCATTTGCACTGACCCAGCTTGCCACGCCCTGGTCAGGCATTTCACGAGTTGTGTTCGCATAAATGGCAGATATCAGTTGATTGTGAAGATGTTCGATTTCGCCAGTATTTGTTATGAGAAAATGATCAATTCGGGACGAAAGTTCAATTTGGTTCATGTGCCCTAGAACAAAGGATTAACACAATACTAACACGCGTAATTATCGCCCCTCACAAGAGACGATAACTTTCATCACATACCCATAAGAAACAAGCCAATTGAATCTTTGTATATCCCAAAATTCTCGCCAATGGCAGACTTGACTGCCGTATACAACGGTTCAAGGTCGATGCGCGGCGGAACATGATTGAATTTTGCAGATTTTTGTACCGGTGTTGTCGCAGTAAGTGATTTGTTAGATAGAACAGGAGTTGGACTCTTGTTCGTCACACTTGAGCGACTCAAGGCCGCTGGATCAATGTCTGGCATGATGACTGTAGGAGCTATTCAGGCTCGCGCGACCACGCTCTCAAGGCGCGAAAACCTTCAATTTTCTATCGCCCATAAATGGAGCAGTAGCGGAAGAATTAGATGACACAAATTCAAAATAAGAACCGTTGATTTGATGGCGTGGTTGATGATTGAATGATGGTCGACTCGGGGCATAACATAGAGGTGACGTTGAGAGAGTCGGTTGGCCTTGTAGCCTTATGTAAGAAATCTGGAGTTCTAGGGTAACCTACCAGCCTACCTCCCTTGTACTGTCACTAAATCAAACCAAACCCCTCAAAATTGAAGTAAATAAATCATCGCGTATGATCCTTATCAACGCGTCCACTCTTTTGATCAACTCTCATGAAGGTTAACGAATATATGATTCTCTGAGGATTAAGATAAGGTCGCAGATATTCAATTATCGCAACGATGCAATTATGTCCTCACGAAGTACTCGTATCTCCACTGCTATTGACAGCCTAGTGCGCCGATTTCAAGTAGATATTCCTGGAGAAGATCCTGCAGACGCAGAAGAACGAGAAAGCAATGCTACCGACTTCGTACGGGAAATTTTGGGAAGGTATTGACTTTGGAAACTGTGCCCAGTATTATGGAATGCTGATTTTGCAATTTATGTAGCTCAAGAACAACTGCTGTTGTCGCAGATGTAAATCAAGCTTCCGATTTGATAAAGAAACGATTAATACAAACAAACCCAAGTCCTAATGAAGCTTTACGATTCACAAACCTATATAGCCGGCTCCTCTCCATACCGGTCATTACACAAAAATGGGCAGTGCTTTACTTTCTCTATCAACTAGGCGACCAAGAGCAACTCAAACCTTCTGGACTGACGAGCCCTTTTATGAGTCCAGTGAATAAGAAGAAGTCTAAGAGACCTGCCGAGGACCAAGATACTGCCAGCGCTGCTCCTCTTCGAGATATCCGTCGAAACATTCAAATAGATGGGACTTTTGACTCTCAAAGCCAAACTTCGCGAGAAGAGAGAGAATTCGATGATGCTTTTGCGCCTTCTGGATTGAGGAAGTTACCGGAACGAGAAGGGGGTCAGAAAGATAGAAAGGAGGAAGAACAGGTATTTGCGAAGACACCAGGTAGCCAGCGTGAGGGTGTCGCATTGAAGACGGCTCTACTGGCTGAAAATTATGTCGAGATTGATCCCCCAGAAACCGCACTACTTAGGGACTTGCCATTCACATTACAAGGCCTATCATCCTCGAATTTACCATTTGATGCCCAATCAAGCCTCAGACTACCCGATACTTTACCTGTACCGATAATTTCAATTCTCCATACATTAGCTGAGCCATCGTTATTATACAGAAGTTTATCTGGTTTTGTGCAGACAAGCGACGGTGGTCTCCTAGGACAGAGTCTACGAGCCGCTATTGCAGGCGAGCTTAGGTCATATCTTGGACTAGTAGCAACACTAGAAGGTCAAATCCGACGAGCACTTTCATCGCTAGACGAGAATGAACCAAGAGGAGGTGTTGGAAAGGCAGGGGTCACTCTTAAGAGATGCGTAGTGTGGACCCGAGAAGCGACGATGGGCTTGAGATTGATGAGCTTGATTAGTGAGGAATCAAAAAGTAAAAAGGGTGGCCAACTCATCACGTTGATCCATGGATTTTCATCGTCGCACGGGGATCCAATGGTAGGAGCTTTCGCCGAGCGGTTGCTGATTCATGTTACTCGGCCGTTTTATGACATGCTTCGACATTGGATATATGATGGAGAATTATCCGATCCATACCATGAATTTTTTGTTTCGGAACAGGATCCCAATGCGATCCAGGAGGCCCAAGATGGCAGAAATAGAGGAGGTGCTAGCAGTGTATGGGAGGACAAATACAAACTTAATGAAGATATGGTACCAAGTATCATCACCCAGGACTTTGCTCAAAAGGTCTTCCTGATTGGTAAATCCTTGAACTTTATCCGTTATGGTTGCGGGGATTCTCAATGGGTGGAAGAGTACTCAAAAGATGCTTCGAAAGAACTACGGTACGGTGATACTGCGACTTTAGAGACATGGATTGATGAGGCTTATAAGACGACTATGGCCCGATTAATCCACTTGATGTCAGAGAAGTTCCATTTGTTCGAACATCTCAAGGCTCTTAAAAATTATATCCTCCTAGGGCAAGGAGATTTTATCGCTCTACTCATGGAATCTCTTGCATCAAATCTTGATCGTCCGGCAGGCGCTCAATATCGTCATACTCTCACCGCTCAACTTGAGCACGCTATCCGTGGCTCTAATGCGCAATACGATTCGCCCGAGGTTCTCCGTCGTCTCGATGCCCGTATGTTACAACTTTCACACGGTGATATAGGTTGGGATTGTTTCACCCTTGAATACAAAATTGATGCTCCTGTCGATGTCGTTGTAACGGAATGGGGTAATCGACAATACCTCAAAGTATTCAACTTCCTATGGCGCATCAAGCGTGTTGAATTTGCCTTGTCGACCACTTGGCGTAAATGCATGACTGGAGCCCGTGGCGTCTTACTTGGATCTCCAGATCCCGCCTTCCATCAATCATGGAAACAGACTCGCGGTGTCCTTGCAGAAATGATTCATTTTATCGCGCAACTGCAATACTATATCCTCTTTGAAGTTATCGAGTCTTCCTGGGATGAGCTCCAATCCGCTATTCACAAAGATGGTTGCACACTCGACGATCTTATCAAAGCGCATACTAAATATCTCAACGCCATCACACACAAAGGTCTGCTAGGCGCCAAGAAAAAGCATTCAAATGATCTTGATGATAATACGTTCATGGTTCAATTAGGCGAGATTCTTAGATTGATGCTCTCATACCGCGACGCAGTTGACGGTCTGTACTCCTTCAGCGTAACCGAATACTCAAAACGTCAAAACGCCAGTTCTCCATCCATCCCGCGCCCAGGCACATCTGCCTCCTCTCGACCCGGAACTCGTTTCGATGATTATCCTCCATCTAGATCTCCATTCGAGAACCCTAATCCTGCACTTCTAAATCTCAATCTCTCGAATATTCAAGGCGAAGAGGAAGAATTCCCCTTACTAGCAGAGAGATTGAGTGGGTTGGGAACGCAATTCAAATCGAGGATTTCGCTATTGCTCGGCGATTTGGCATATCAGCCAGATACAGACATGAGGTTCTTGGGTGTGGTAATGAATTTTAATGATGTATATACGGGAGTTAGGCGGAAGAGTGCCCGGGAAAGGGAGCGAGAAAAAGACAAGGGGAAGGGCAAAGCTAGAGAAGGGAGATCCGGCGAGTCGAGTGCTAGAGAAAGATAATTGTGTTGTGCTCAGTACTCGTATTGGAAGAATGAGTGGAGATGCGTGTAGAGGAGGGGCGTATTGTCTTTTCGCGTAGCATGGTATGACATATTAGGACGGCTCGATAAGGATACCAATGAATGATGGATGGGTGGAATGCCGATTGGCTGCTTGTGGCGTTGGTCTGTTGATATAGGATGATGAATATACAATTCTTTTTTTACACATGTCTGATATTTGCTTCTCTCTTCTCTCTTCCCACTCCCTACTCTCAATGTGCATGCGTGTACTTCATTCATCATAGGTACCTTAATAGTGGCTCCGATTTTGTCCACCTTGTCTTTCCAAGGTTACCTATCCCACAATATCTCATTCCCTCCCCTCCCATTTTATCTCATCTCATCTCATCTCATCTCCTCCCCTCTCCCCTCCCCTCAAACCAATAATCAAACCAATAATCAAACCAGTAACCAAACCCCCCAACAATACCCACAAAACCACCACACTGAACGCCCAACCAGATTCCCCTCATGGTAAGTTATCTGAGTAATCCTCATCTGTTAGCGACCACATCAAATCAAATCAAATCATAAATACCTACCTACCTACCTACCTATCTACCTCGCCCCCCCCTTCCCCCCCCTCCCACACCCACACCCCAGAATCAAACACGCACGCAACGCATACGCATGTCACGGATTAGCATAGCGTAGCGTTGAATACGCCAAGTTGAATGGGGTAACATGGGGGAAATATAAATATAAACCCATTATAAAGTTACGAGGAAGAAAGAGTGTGAAGGAGATTTATCTCAATTAGTGTTTTAATTCTCTGATATCTGAAAGAAATGGGTATGGATACTTTAGAGATGCTCATATTTTTGAGAGAGGGGGGGGGGAATATGATAGGCCGAAGGGGAGGAAAAAGACGGATATGTATGTACCTAGTGAATGAAAGCTTTCTAGCGTTGAAATATTTATCCTCTGATCCATTGCATGTACGTATTCCTAGACTGGCTCACTATCACACATACGTTATTCACGGATGGGTGTTGTGTATAAATTTGATATCATATTCATTTGCATTTTCATTCGTCCTTGCCTTCCTTCCTCTACCCCTCCACCTATTTGATTCCTAACCTCCCAATTTTGATATATTCTCCAAGTCTCCATTCCTTCTCAACTCATCCTATCCTACCAAACCCGGACAGGGCTCGTCTGTTCCCATTCCATCATCCTTTCCAAACCAATGCCTTTTGAATTCCCCATTAGCCCGTTCACTGCTCTCTACCCATCATCTTTCCCTTTCCCTATCTTAACAGAGCACAATTGCTCAAAGAAAAACGCCATACCTGCTATATACCCATAAAAGCCTTGATATGAGACCCTTGAGATACCAGAGTCTAAATCCAACGCAGAAGATGAGTGCAATAATCAAGAATGCAAGAAAATGCAAAAGGTATATGAAAACAAGCAGCCACCAGATATATCCTATCTCAATCGTACAAAAAATATAACACATTATGTTTTCTCCCTTTCCGGCTCGCACCACCCTATCGCCGCCTACACTCGTCTCGAGCTTAAATTTTTTATCAGTGCCTTCTCCTTCTGGAACTTGGGGCCCCTAAGTCAATGTTTTTCATTTCTTCCAACAGCGCCCACGCATCCCCACCTCCACCTCCTCTCCCTGCGCCACTACTAGCTGGAGCCGGTAATGCCATTGGAATTTTCGCTGGTACGACTGGCCCAACCGCCCCTCGATATCCACCTCCAGGGCTACTTCCATACTGATAACCATTTGACTGATAACTGTCATGAGAATACTCAGCCGTTGAGGGTCTCTGCATTGACGTTCTACTAGATGCATAAGTTGGTTCTTTGTAGATCGGTACATTTGGGGACGAATGGTATGCAGGTTGTGCCGACATGCGGTTTGACTTCTTTTGGAGTTTCCTATGAGCGGTAGCTGGAGGGTTGTCAGGAATGCCGCCGCTGAAGTAAATTGGGGACGAGACAGCCATTGACTGAGGCCTTCCTGCTTGACGTAATTGCTTACGACCATTTGATGGCATTGGGTATTCTGCTGGTGGAGGTCGATAATTGCGATCTGGCATTTGCGAAGCGTATTTTGGTCCCTTTTGTTCAAGGAGTGGTGCATAATTAGATTCAGGGATGTGATCACTTGGATCAATTTCCCTGCCATCATAAGTAATGATTTTCGCATCGGGGTCATCTTTAGGATCATAAGCAGCACTTAGAGAAGTTGCAGATTTCGATCCTGTCAGACTTGGATTGAAAACATCATATGAATCTGGCCCGAATGCAATACCAGATAATCTTCGAGGCTCCGGAGCAGGACTGACCGGTTTTCGCATGACTGCTGGGTTAGGAGAGGTACCTCTTCTGTTCATAGGATTAGGTGAAGCACCCCTTCTGTCCATAGGTGGATTGGGAGATGCACCTCTTCTATCCATTGGATTGGGAGACACGCCTCTTCGATCCATAGGGTTAGGCGAATTTCCTCGTCTATCCATTCCGGGATTAGGCGACGTGCCCCTAGATTTTACTGGCACCATAGCCGTAGACGCAGCGTATCGACTTTGGCGATCGTCATATGCTGCTTGTGGTGAGTATGGGACGACAGCCGAATTATCATGATAGGGAAGGGGTATTGGCTGTTGAATCTGTTGTGGCTGATGTCTTGGAATCTCTTGATATCTTCCTCGCTGCGAAGATGCAGGATTTTGGCTATAACTTGCTCGTTTTTCGTGATAAATCCGATCCGAGATTTCCTTTGCAATGATTGGATCCATTCCCGGTACCAAAGTTGGTGGCATCTCAGGCAAACCATAGTCTCCATTAGTATTCTGCACACCTAGGGACTGGCTTCTGTCTTGGCGGGATGATGGGAGTTGGCCGTAAGAATTTCTAGAGGTTACAGAAGCGCCATCTCTGACAGAAGACATAGAACTAGATGTCGGATAGCCACCTGAGCTATTCGAATGTTGATGACTCGGGGCAGTTGTTGCAATACTATTGCGACTAGGGCGATGCCGTAAATTTAATGGTGCCGGTACTTGGTCATACATCCCTTCAGCTGGGTGTTGCATGGCACCTGGTGCACTACCCCTATGCGGTATAGCAGCCTGATAACTGTTTGGTCCTGGTCCTGGAGCTGGTGTGGGTGGGGCATCCTCGACAGTCGGCTGCATGTCATCATAACTGGGATTGTACCTCAAATCTCTCGAATCATAAGAGTTCTTTCGGGGTGGGTAAGGGTTTCCATTTCCGGACCTTCGGAATTGGTCATCGTTCTTTGGTGGGTTGTAGGCCTGGTAAGCTGAAGTGGGTTGTGTATGAGCAGGCATTGAGTGGCGGTGCATATCATCCATGGAAGTGTTGTATGGATTGGAATTTCCTCGACTGACTGGCCGGCCATGGACAGCCTTGGGTTGCGCGAGAGTTGGCACCGAATTCACGTGTCTGCTTGCATGAGCAGGGGGAGGTGGCGGAGGACCAGGGCTCATCGGAAGTTCATATGGACCTGACTGCTGAGGCTCATACGTTAACATACGAGAGCCTCCATATCTGTCGCGAGGATCCGCTTCATGGGCCGCGTATTGATTCATATCATGACCGTTTTCGTAATCATTTCTCAACATTGGATCGTGAATCTCATATCTATCGTTATTCCGCATTGATTGGGAACTTGGTGGTGCTGCGACCATCATGTCTTGGGGTCCTCCATATGGGGTCGATCCTGGACTAATATCATATCCTTGGGGTTGGTTATACCGGGCTGAAGGTGCGTTGTATTCCACTCTTTGTACAGGCGATTGATCCTGAGCGAATCCGTTCTGATATCCACGCGGTGGCGTTTGCGCGTGCTCTTGCCCAGCAATAGGAGAGTGATAACCACGCTGCGCTTGCATTGGATCAGACATGGCAGCAGAACTTGGATATCCACGAGGCGAAGGTTGATCCTGAATTACCGGTGGATTTGCATATCCTCGAGGGACATGATCCGGCATACCATTTGGAGACATCTTATATCCTTGCGGCAGTGTCTGAATGTGATCTGGTATTCCAGTCGGTGGGTTTTGGTAGCCTCGAGGTGGGGTCTGGACATGATCTGGTATCGCAGAAGGAGAGTCTCTATATCCACGAGTAGGGGTCATTTGCACATGGTCAACTGTAGATGGGGCCTGATATCCTCGTGGAGGAGTATGAACAAGTTCGGCAGGATGTGATACCGCAGCAGGGATCGGGGCTGGCGCGGGTGCTGCCACAGGAGGTTGCGCTGGAGCTCCAGTAATTGGATCGGTTGGTAGAGGCCGCCTCTTAACAATTGGTTTCACCCCTAATTGTCTTGGCCCACCAACTCCTTCTCTCAAACTCCCACTTCCACTTCCACTCACACTTCCGAAATCCGTTATCGATTGCACAGATGTAGATGGAGTAATTGTCGATGAGTTTTGTTTGGGTTCCTTCTTCTCTGGTTTCTCTGGTTTGGGTCTTTTATCATAATATGTGATCTCGACCCTAATCTCTCCCGCATATTTCCCCTTGAAGTTTAAGTTATGCCATATATCACTTTGTCCCCCTCCTGCAACAATGACATCTTGTAAGTTTACCCAAGTCTCTCCTATCAGATCTGTTCTCTTGTCGTCATTAAATACTGAGACCTTCAATTGATAGTAATCCGGTGAATCGTGAACAGTAAATCGGAGCTCTTGATCCCTAGATAGCCTCGTCAGTAATGCAGCAGACATCAACTCCTCATTGGGCACTTACCATCGAGGGGTTTGTCCACCTCTCTTATCTGTCTCCGTTTTTTTTGCTTCCTTTCCCAGACGAGCTGCACAATAAGGATCTTGTTTTCCAATGGTCTTTCTGTTTGGTAAATTCTTGGCTCGATCAACGATAACAACCAGAGTACCAATTACTGGGCCATCAACCGTCATATCCGAGAAGATTCCAGCGGTATGCATGCCCGCCATTTTGAGTTTCGTGGCCATGATGAAGAAAGAGAGTGAGGTATTATTAATGCTTCAAAGAAAGTAAGACTATATTATAATCCAATGATGATTTATTATATGGTAATTCTCGAGGTCGAGGTCGTGGCTGAGGTTGTGTTCTCCTAGTTGTAAAGTTGATCTCGGTCTCGAGCGTGTATGATAACTTCCAAGTTCTTTCTTTCTTTCTTTCGTTCTTTCGTTCTTTCTCTCTTTCTTTCTTCCCTCACCAGCTCTCGCTGAGCATTGTATTTGGGAAATCCTCAACTGATATTCCAAAGTCGAACGCCGAGTAGGTACGAAATCGCGTTAGAACCCTCGCATCTCAGACCGTTCCATGCAGCATAAATCATAAAAAAGCTGACACTCCAGAAATATTAAAGAATTGATTTGAGAAGAGAGAAATGGGATCCGTTTTGATTGGAATGAAGCGGGTCTCTGGTGGATTAAGTCGAAAGTTGTTCAAAATGCTACCTCTCATCTGTGTGCAAGGCGCGAGAAAGAGTTAAAGGGAGTGGCTGAGATCGTGGAGAAAGAATGGTGAAGGCTGGTGTTATCCTTGTCATCCATACCCTCGTTACTTTGTGTACCAAGGGATTGTTTTTTTTAAGAAAGAAAGGAAGAAAGAAAGAAAGAAATTTGGATTTATTCATGGAGTAGAATGGGATACCGATGATGTATTGAATTACGCGTTTTGAATCTATTCAATTGGATGTGTATCTACCTATATGTGAGTAGGTAGGTAGGTAGTTCGCTAGCTAGCTAATGAATGACATTTGACATGTTTTTGTTTACATTGGTTGATCAGCTAATAATTATATGTAGTTTTGATATCACCTGGGCATACTCTTCAATCCTCACTCTTCAATCCTCACTCTTCAATCCTCACTCTTCTCCCATCTCCCATCACCCTTCTCCCATCTACCCAGGATCCAGATATAGATATCATATCCATATCGTACATATTATCTATCGTAGATTTCACTGATGACGAAAATCGGGACCTTACCTACCTAGGTTTAATAATGTTTGTATGTACATAATTCAATCCCTGTTGAGAATCACCTCCTCGACGGAAGATGCCTTTCTTTGTACGATGTATAAAATGTAATCCTTGTTCTACTAGGTAAGGTAAGCTTTCAAGTTTCCATGGCTCCCTTACGATCCAGGTATCCAATCCCTCGGCCGAGAGAAAAGAAAGAAAAAAAAAAAAGGAATAAAAATAGAAATCCTCCATCCTTCATTTGTTGACGGCGTCACGAACATTGGATTCCACTCCTCATCTCATGTGGCTCATGCTAATAATTAAGAGTGGCTGGAGTGACTATCACTCAAACTCTACCCAAATGTCCGATGATGGCGAAATGATGGTGTTATCGATCGGAAAATCATTTGAGATGGTGGAGTCTGGTGATGCAGGTACCGAGATTCTAGCTCGATTCTCAGATCTCCAACACCCAATAATGCTTTCGTCTTAATTATTAAATGATGAGGCCGAACACTTTGCGTCGTTTCAAGGTTCACGTTGTTTGTTTGTTTGCTGGTTAGGTACTAGGTATGGATGAACAATCTTATCCATCCGGCCGGCAACTTGCGGCAAGGCTGTCGTGCGTAATTGGTAAGGTTAATTAACCGCCGCTTTGCATTCTTCTTCGGTTAATCCCCGAATCCCGACCAGGGCGTCACTCATCTAGGTTCCTTCGTACTAGGTAGACTAGGTAGCTATTGAAACCAAGCTTATCTCTTATTACTCTATTACCTTTCTTATCTTATCCTCTCCATACATCATCAAGAAAATTGTAATTAAATCTAAGATCTTACTACAGATCTGTACAACTCTCCTTCATCACACTTTCAACCTAAACATCCCCTGACCAACCTCTCCACTCTCCACTCTCCACTCTCCACTCTTCACTCTTCACTCTCTACCCATCGCCCACCTCCCCCCTTCCCTCAATCCATCACACATCATCACATCAACACATCATGTATTCCATCGCACCCTCTCCCACCCCCACACTTTTATCAGACCCAGTGACCTCCACCCCACCCGACACTTCCGCCCCATCAATCTTCCGCTACATCATCGGTTTCCTCCTCATCGGTGTCGCCTGGGGCTTCACAACCCCATTCATCCGAGCCGCCGCGCGAACCCACCAACCGCCCTCTCACCCCATTCTCTCATCCCCCGCGGTGACCAAATCTTTCGTCAAATCGAAGCTCTATGGCGCCTTCTTCGGAGTCGTGGATCTTTTGCGAAACCCCAGATATGCGATTCCATTGGTGATCAATTTGACGGGCAGTATTTGGTTTTTCTTGTTAATCGGCCAGGCTGGTGAGTTTTGTTTTTCCTTTTTTTTCCGTTCCTGTCGATCCTCGAGGAAAGAAGATGGATGGGGAGAAGCGTGATCTGAGTACCTACAGTGATGACGTAGATAATGCTAACGATATATGTAGAGCTCTCCCTAACAGTCCCCATCACAAATTCTCTAGCGTTTCTCTTCACAGTATTAGGAGAGTGGTGGGTGGAAAGAAAAGTAATCAGTCGCGGTAATTCCCCTCGTCCCTTTCCCTTACATCCCTTCCCCATCATTACTGTTGATCGGAGTAAATCCATAGTCAAGAAATGTGGCTTGGACCCCGAGTACGCGAACTAACATATTGACAGATACCTGGATTGGTATGATCTTGTCGTTATGTGGCATTGCGCTCTGTGTCCATAGTAAGACGGGATGAGCCTTCCTTGGGAGTTATTTTTGGATCACATTTTCGGGAGTGGGGGATCTGATATTCGATAAATGATATCGAGGAAGGATCATATGGAAGAAGAAGTCGATCATGTGAGGTTTCTGGAAGTGGTATACATATTTGATTTTGCCGCCGTACGAGGCTGGTATATTCTCTTTGCTTACAAACTGATGTAAAGATCGTAGTAGGATCCATTATATTGGATACTAGCAAGTTTGATTAGGCAAATGTCACTAATGTCACATAAAACTTTCGACATGTCTCAATTTCTTGATTCAAAATTTATAAGTTGACTTTAGACACACTAGCACAGCTCTATGCTCTAAGCCCGAACTACCTCTCGTCTAATCCCGTAAAATGAGTAAGGAAGTAGCCAAAGAAACCCTAACCGCCAGGGCCAGGGGAAAACTGATGTGTGCGCCATTCCATGCCCATCGCCAACCATTTTAAGTGTAAGGAAATTCCAAGCCATGCCATGCCAATCCGATCCGATCCAATCACCCAAACAATCCCAATTCAACAAGAGCCATCAAACATTACCAAATCCATCTTCCTGTACAATAGTATTACAGCCCTCCTTTCGTCCGATTCACCCGTCCCTCCTCTCCCGACTCAACCTCGGCAGTCACATCCCCTCTTCCCGTCCACGTGTTTCAATTCCGAACACCACTGACAGCTTAACGTCTAGCCCTAATCCATCTCTGTACATGTCTCAAGCTCGGATCTTCTTGCGTCCAGCGCCCCATCCCATAATCGGACGACCTTAGATCCGAGTAGATGGCCTCATCTGTGATTGATACCAATTCCTAGTTCCCAAATCAGCACGCGTAAAAATCAATAATACCAAATCATCAAAAGTTGGCAGCATCTTTGCTCGTTCACACAAGAACCGGAAGTGGGGAGCGGCTCGGAGGCTCGGAGTGGAGAATTGAAAGAAAAACAACCCCCCCTTTGACTTACTGCTCGTAGCTGCACGTCGCATGCGTTCAATTGATCCGTGTGCCCGGTATGAGGTCTCTGGCCCTGTAACACTTGATCTCTGTAACTGATCCAGCGCTGTGCCGCACCTTGGCGAAGGTAGATCTTTTGAGCCTCGTGACGGCGAGAAAATGCATCCAGGAGTACCCTTCTCGCGGTTAGTATGGAGAATCATGAAAGACCCAATCGTGCCGTTTGATGGTAGGGAGAGACATACTGTTGCAATTCCGCTTTAGATTGCTCATCTGCGCCACCGCGAACTCGTGGGACTCGAGTTTCAGCAGCACAGTTTAGGATATGCTGGCCATCTAAGGAGCATTGACGCAGAGCGGCATATCCTTCAGTGTAGTAATCATCCATATTTGACGGGTCGGTAGGAGCAGCAGCGATGTAGTATTGAAGAGTGCGGAAGTCGGAGAGAAGATCTGCTACCCGAGCAGTTCTTTGATCGTTCACTAGTGAATGTGTAAGTTATTGGAGTCAATTGAGTCTCATCCGTCCCGAATGCACGGTAGGGACGAGCACAAGTAACGGTCTTGTGTGGTAGGAACATAAATGACTTACATCCATCGGCCATTGTGTATGTAGGTTTGAGTGTTTGAAACTGCTGCAACTTCAAATAACGGGAGAATGGACACTAGAATGACTTGCTAACTGGTGTGAAGTGGAGACGGGAGACAATGAGGAACTGAATGAAAGACTGTGCCGTTGATGTCTTGGAAAGATGAAGCCATCTCGGCCGTTTATGAAGCTTTTCAAATCATACTTGACTAGATAAGACGTTGACTCTGAAAATTGATCATCCACTTTGAGTCTCAACGTGGCTGGCTAACGGGAGGATACCTCAGCCAGGCAAAGCCAATTCTTTGATTCCATTGGAAATATTAGACACCATTGAGTTACTCTCACTGTATAGAAAGCCATTTGTGCTCCACAACTAAGTCCGATGCTAATGATACGGGAGTGACGAGCTCAAAGCTAGTTTAAACCCTACAGAGCTGTAAGGATGTAAGGGTGCAAGGGTACTAAGCTATTGTGGTATTTCTCAGGATATGCATGACGGCAGCGATTTGCGATATGTCCAAGGGTTCAGATTAGATGGTTCGAGATAGGTTTTGGAATAGTATTGTGTAATGGGTGTATTTCAGATTCTTAGAGGAAGAGCGTAGGGATTGAAACGTGGGAACGAGTGGTGGAGGATGATGGGAGGATTAGATGAGAGGTAGATTGTGGGTAATTGATATGGGTCCCCTGTGTGATGTGCAATCAAATCTATCTATGTGACTTCCGTATGCGTGGTATGTGGACAATGATTTGGGATTCCTTTTGGGGTTTCTTGGTAAAGGAATCAAAGTAAAAAACGAGCTAAAAAGACTGATGCTACACCTCGGTACCTGTTCGCTCGCGTGGGAACAAGGATAAATGTTCAGCCTTCACTAGGGTTTGACCCGTCAAATCATCTAATCCACTAATAATCTTACAAAAAAGCCATCAGAGAAAAAACCATGTTAGTTCAAGGCTCAAATGTGTATTGCCATCGAATTTTTCAGCCAATGGGAGTCCTTGGATCCAGATCATAATATCGTTATAGCTGAAGTTGTAGAAAGCATCTCACTCACATTGGACAAGCGGTGACTGCGCCAGGTACCAACCATATCGACGCATATGTATTATTACATACCACACCATACTATTCTATACACATACCCAGGAGAATCTCCCAGCTCCTGAACACAGACTACAGCAGATCATCTGGGGGCCATACGATCTTGACCCAGTACCAAGACGTGATTTCCTAGGAGTATACTCCTATCACCGCATCTCAATATTCCATATCCGTAACTTGGAAACTCCAATAGACCCATTTGGGGACTCCACCCCACTACTCTTTTGGGATCCTCAATACTCAATATTTCCTCTTCCCTGTCTTGCATTTTGTATGCGATGCGAGATGATTGATGATTCGATCAATCCCAAAACTATATTTCCGGATAGGGCTGCGTAATGCTAGATCATTGATGCTGCAGTAAAGTGATGTTCTCCTGGATCTAGTCAGATCATCCGAGAATATCATGACACTGTCACCGAAGGTATGGGTCGTCTATTATTCAGTCCAGCAGTGGTCAAGCCACAATATGGCTATGTTTCCGTTTCGTTTCTTTTTTTCTTCCGTGTACACATGTTACACCAAAATTAACGAGATGACAAAAGATATGTGGCTTTCTCGCCTACCATTGCTCAGTATCAAATGCAGATTGGTATCATAAATTGAATTTCATAGCAATAGTATTTCTTGATCAGTCATTCGCCGAGTTTACCGAACGTATTTCATGGTTGCCTCATCTGGATATCTTGCCTCATCGCTTTACTCATGATCGGCAACTAATCTTTTTCTGCAATCGCCTGTAACCTCTCATCGATCTCCTCTTCAGTCAAAGCCCTGAAGCCCGGATCTGTACCCTCCTTTCCATCCTTTCTTGGCCCCCCAACAATACCAATCTCCAATTCTCCCTTCTTGAAATCGACGCTGAGAACTGTGCTCAAAGTTGTGATGCCTAATTCTACTACATCTTCCCAGCTACCTTCTGCACAATCCTTGTTCTTGAGCTTTTTCTCCAGGTGGTTGAACGCCTCCTGTTGTTTTGGACCCGAAGCTGTTCCTTTGTAACCAGTGTAGTAGCCAGCTGGGTCACATTTGTACAGTTGAGGACCAAATTCAGAATCCAACGATATTAACGTGGTTGCAACACCATACGGTCTCATGTATGCCTAAAAATCAATATCAAGTTAGCAAGATGAACAGAGATACAGTATCATCCAAAATTTCGACAAAGGTTTCATTAAGTAAGCTTACTCTTTGGGTATAGACTTGGCTGATATTGGCGATCCTCTTTGCCAGGGCATCACACGGCATCTCGTATCCAAACTTGTATCTGAATTCGGCAGCCTCGCCAATAGCTCTTTGAACAGAGGCTCTGGCATCTGCGATAGAACCTGTCATGACGCATCCTACAGATGGTGACAATTGAAAGATGTGGGAGACGGATGATGGATCAATGAGCTTATCCTATGTGGAGCACCATTGTATTAGTATTGAACTTGAAATAGAATCTGGATCAGTGTGTCGTACGGGAACCTTCTTTTGAGACAGAACAACGGCACAATCCTTTCCTCGAATGCCTACAGACATAATGTTCGCAGCGGTGATAGCTTTAAAGGCATACTCTATTCTCGCAAGAGCAGTTAGTATAATGTTATTGCATGCCGTTGTGTTGGATTGGGGTCGTGATAGATCAATAAAGCTGAGATCCTACGAATCCCATGGCTTTAACGGTTCTATTTGCGTCTGGATCTGCGTACCGACTTGGTATAATCTTCCTTGATCAGAAAAGATCGTGATATGTCTGTCGTAACCTGCGCTACCTATTGTGGATTGTTAGTTCAAGCTTCTCGAGCTTCTTGAGGAGCTTGTCAAGAGGTGGGCGCGCGAGAACAAACATACCCGACATTTTGAAGAAGTTGACTTGGTATCTGAATTTGAAGGATGGGTATTTCGGGACAATGATTACTTGTAAATTAGAATCAACAGGTATCGTGGTTGTTTAGGTGAGAAATAAAGACGTGGAAGAGATTATGATGCTTCAAAGTTGTCATGTACAGTAGCTACTGGTCTGGTATCTAACCTTTACACGCGGAAGCTTGAAGCCTGGACTATCGTTCAAAATAGTTTAGCGCCGGGTATTAAAGCGGCGGGCATTCTTATCAAGAGAAAAAAAGTTACTTCGCGGTCCTTCACATCGACATCAATCTGAGCGTCAATTTTTGTACTTTTTGTCAAATATCAAGGCTTGCCTTACGAAGCATAGTTTTAAGTTCATGTGTCTATAGGCTGGTAGATTCTTAGATTTCTTAAGTTCTTTGCCATGATACCTTCACCTTCCGCGAGTGGAGGGGCGCCACGAATCCCCTCATGGAAACGATTAGGCTTAAAGTTGAAATCGGCCCCAAATTCCTCTGATTCAAATATTCAAGCCTCAATTACCGAACCTCTTAAAGAAATCGAGATAGCAAATAAGAAAAGACCAAGAGAAGACACCGAGTCCGAGCACGAAACGTCTGCGAAAAAGCTGAAGAATCTCGAATCTCATCCTCCTGCTTCTGAACCACAACGATCGGTCGTTCCCGATTCAATTATTACTACACCCAGAAAATCCGCGCTAAAAAAATCAGTAACATTCACCCCGGAAACAAAATCTCAAGATGGCGATAGTATAAAACAGTTATACTTAGGTTGGGTGGCCGATCAAAAAGCACAAGACGACTTTTTCTACGGTCCTTCTACGAGTCAAGCTTTTGAAACACCCGCACCACCTATAGTTGAGGAACAATTTGATACTACACTCCCAGAAAAGGAACGAAGGGTGAAAAGAGTCAAGAAGACAAAATCGGAAGCCAAACCCGAAAATGGTACCACTGAGAAGGATTCGAAGCCCCAGAAGTCTGTGAAGAAGTCGAAAGTCTCCAAACCAACCGCCGCTCCACGTCCATTCTTAGCGTATCTAAGACAGTATCACGAATCGAAGGAGACGTGGAAGTTCAACAAAAATCACCAAAATCACCTATTGAAGCACGCTTTCAACGTTGAGGTCGTTCCTTCCGATCACGTCCATCTTCTCTACGAGTACGTCAGAGGTTTGCAGGGAGGGGTCAGAAAAAGACTTCGAGACGAAGCATTAGCTATCAAGGTGAAAGATCGAGAGTCTGACGCTTCTGGATTTCCAGCAACAATGGCGGACAGTAGCAAAAGACAACGAGAGTACGATCTTGCCATCAATGAATATGTTGCATCAATGACTGCTGCTGGGGCATCGTCGCGAATGGGGTATGAAGAGGGTGTAATTATGGGACTGTCGGACGCAGCAATGGCTCCCAGAATGGCCAAAAGAATGAGAGCCGAACAAATTCTTGCTGAATTGGGCTCTTCGTCTTCTGAAGAGACGACGGATACGCAAGTCACGGAAACAGAATCTGTAGCAACGGACGGAGAAAAGAGGTTGCGATTGAATGACGGTACCCCGCAGAAGATCGGAAGGAAAAGAAAGCAACGGACACTTGCAGCTGATGATTCAAGCTCTTCCGACTCAGATTCAAGCAGTGATTCTGATGATAGCAGCTCCGATGATGAGTCAATGGTGGACGGTAACAACAAAGATAATACATCTTCCAGTTCATCAAGCAGCTCATCTAGTTCGGGAAGTGATGATGAGGATTCATCCAGTGAAGACGGGTCGAGCAGCAGCGAAAGTGAGGACAGTGAGTGAGGACAGTGAGTGAAGACGAGATTCAACATTGAGTTAGTGGTATTGATCACATGTTACCTCTCATTATGATGTTTGTGCAAAAGGGTGGTTTGAGAACTGATATGGGCTGAAGACTTACAAATCGCTTCAAAGTTTCTTGCCTACAAACTACAAACATCAATTGCATATTCGATAACGCAGTTGGAGATCATGGAAACGTTCAAGTCGGTTTCCTGATTTCTTTTCGGATGGCCAATCAGGGATGGCTGAGCAGATA